CTGAGCCTTTACAGAGCTGCTACATTTTGTTTTGGTACCTGAGAAAATCTGATATTTCCTTTAATAAAACCAAAAGTGTTAAAAGTAAAGTTAAAAATGTGATACTGGTGTAAATCCTCCTTAATACAAAGCAGTGTTGTTGTTTCTTTTTTTGTATATATAGTATGAAACTATCCAGAAATGACCTGTATGAACCTACTCACAAAATGTTTTCTACTTTTTCAGACTGGAAGCAAAATTTATTTTTATGTTGCTTCTTTTCAGATTTGTGGAGTTTTGGAGGTAAGATACAGTACCTGCCTTTTTGTTGATTTGTTGATACAGCAGCTCTATCTACAGCATATCTACATGCAGGAAATGTCTCTTTCATGTTGCCTTAACTGCTGTATGACAAGTTACTGAGGAACAAATGGGGTAAATGTGTGTTCAGAGTAAACAATACATGGATGTCTGGTACCTTGTTCAGGTGCCTTGACCCATTTATTTCTACTGTTTTTATTCTGACTTTAGTACAGCTCAGTCCATAGATCTCTGATTGGTAACTTTTTCTTTCTATAGTTTCTTCTTGTGCAAATGCTGCAAAGCTGCCTCTCTGACAGTCAATCTCACACATCTGCGACTCAGCACCTGTGTCTTACCTTAATACCTTTCCTGTCATAATGCCCCTCTAGAAGTGGTGTAATCATTCTTCTATCTCCTATTAGGTGAGATCTCATTGTAGGATTTTTTTTTAATTTGACCTGCTTCACATGAAACACTTACTCTACATACTATTCTCACCAAACTGTGATAACTGTGATTAAATTCAGTGTAAACAAATGCCATATGTTGCCACCCCTACAAAAATTCCTGCCCCCCTCTCGCCACCCCATAAATATTTTTCTAGATCCGCCCCTGGCTGTGTCTACAAGAGACTTTTCTGACAAAGCAGGATTTAGAAGGACTGAACTCTATAAATGAGCGTTTCCACGGGGCTGGGGAGTCCAGTGTTGATATTGGGGATAGAATAATACGAGGACGGATTGCCGGTGGTGTGGCAATATTATGGGATAAGAGACTAGATCCTTGTGTTAAAATAATCCGACTGGAAGTGGACTGGTGCATAGCAATACACCTGACACAACATGACAGGGAATGTGTTATCCTGAATGTGTACACCCCATATGAGTGCATTGCTAATGAAACTGAGTATCTTAACAAGCTTGCTTTTATTAACTCTTTTATACAAGATAACAAATTTTATAATGTGTTTGTTATTGGTGACATGAACTCTGATATCACTGACAGTAAATCTATCTTTGGTACTCATTTAAAGCAGTTTTGTGAGGATAGTGGGTTAATTCTCTCAACGAAAGTTCTGCTGCCTACAGATAGTTTTACATATATTAGTGAGGCATGGCATACAACCTCATGGTTGGATCACTGTGTAACCACAGCAGATGCACATGCCTCATTGACCGACATGAAAATCCTGTATGAATTCTCTACTGCCGATCATATTCCATTTGGGATGCAGATAAATTTACAGTGGTTACCAATGACAGAAAAGTACTCTGAAAGCAACAAATTACACTTAGACTGGAGCTCACTGTCAAAGGAGGATCTGCTATCTTATTCGATGTGCACAGATAACTCACTCAGGAATATCTACTTGCCCAGAGAAGCAGTTAGCTGTAGAGATGCTAATTGTAAAAATCCTGAGCACATAAGATCCATTTGTTCTGTGTTTAATGAAATAGTTAATGTTTTGATTGCATCAACTAAACACTTTCATAAACAAATAAAAAAGAAAAATAAGATCAGGCCAGGTTGGAATACCCATGTGGTTGAATTTTTTTAATAGAGCTAGAGAGGCTTCTAAGGAATGGATTGAGGCAGGTAGACCAAGATCAGGGCCTGTCTTTGAACATAAAAAGTATACCAATGCCCAATATAAGTATGCTGTGCGTTATATTGGTAAAAATGAAAGAGCAATGAGGTCTGACTCAATGGCCAGAAAACTCTTCTGTAACAATACCCAAGGCTTCTGGAAAGAAGTTAGAGGTATGACATCCTACAAAACATCCCTCCCATGTTCGGTTGATGGCATATCAGGCACTGCTAACATTGTGGAGCTTTGGCGCCAACATTACAGCAGATTATTTAATTGCATCCATAGTGAACCATGCACTGCAAACAATGTTGACCATATAGATGAAATCCTGCCTTATGAGGTTCATAAAGCTATTTCCAAATTATCTAACAATAAAGCCACTGGGCTGGATGGAGTCTCAGCTGAACATTTAAAGTATGCAAATGCAAGGCTAGCTCCTCTACTTTCCATTTGTTTCACATCGTTTTTTATTCATGGGCTTTTACCTGACTCTATTTTAAGTGTCCTGTTAGTACCCGTCATTAAAGACAAAACTGGAAACATTGGCAATTCTGATAATTACCGTCCGATAGCGCTGGCCAGCATAGTTTCAAAAATTATTGAATCAATCCTGCTGGACAGGATTTTAGAGGTTGTCAAGTCTACAGATAACCAGTTTGGTTTTAAGGCTAGGCTGGGCACAGATATGTGTATATATGCTCTAAAAGAGATTACTTATAAATATAATAAGCAGAACTCTTCAGTGTTTATGTGTTTCCTGGATGCATCAAAAGCATTTGATAGGGTAAACCACAGAAAACTATTCACAAAACTGACACAAAAAGGAGTACCAGAGTATATTGTTCGTATTTTGAAGTACTGGTATACTCAGCAAACACTGCAGATTAAATGGGGGGAATGTGTCTCTGCTCCATTCAAAGTTAGTAATGGGGTGAGGCAGGGCGGGATTTTGTCCCCAGTTCTCTTTAACTTGTATCTGGATGAACTGTCACACAAGTTGAGAGCTTGTCACACTGGTTGTGTGGCTGGTGACTCGGTACTTAATCACCTGATGTATGCAGATGATTTAGTAATATTTAGCCCTAGTACTGCTGGGTTACAGCAACTACTAAACATCTGCTCTGAGTATGGTCTGGAACACGACATAAAGTACAATCCATCTAAAAGTGTGATCATGATCTGTAGGAGTAAGGAAGATAAATCTACTGAGTTTCCAGATTTTTTGCTGTCAAATACTGTGCTGGGCGTAACAAATAAAACCAAGTATCTTGGGCACATCATCACAGAAAATCTGTCAGACGATGAAGATATTTGCAGACAGCGTAGATTGTTGTATGCTCAAGCTAATACCCTTGCACGTAAATTCGGTTCATGTACTGATAAAGTCAAAGTGGAACTGTTTAATGCATATTGTACCTCTCTGTACACTGCTCACCTGTGGACTACCTATAGAAAAGTCAACCTGCAAAGGCTGCAGGTGGCCTATAATGATGCTATGCGGTTACTTTTGAAACGTCCAAGATGGTCCAGTGCAAGTGAGATGTTTGTCACAGCAAGAGTTAATACCCTACAAGCTGTTCTACGAAAGTTAATGTATAAGTTTATTTGTAGGTTAAATGCATCTGAAAACGATATTATTTTGTCACTCACTGATACCACACGTAGTGCAATCCGATATCAGTCTAAGCTGTGGAGACACTGGTATTCCTGTCTTCTTAAAGATCCTATTTAATCGATAATGGTACTTGTATTGTGTTTTTATCATTAACTATTTTTATTTTATTTTTATGTATGTATTTATTGGACCATGAGTCCGGAATAAAGTTTATCTATCTATCTATCTATCTATCTATCTATCTATCTATCTATCTATCTATCTATCTATCTATCTATCTATCTAATGCAGACCAATAGAAACACTTGTTTCCTCACTGGAAAGCCCATCCCTCAGGACTGAAGCAAATGTGATCCATAAAAGCAATTTAAAAAGGAAATGCAATGCCAGAAAGCAATTAAATAGAAAAAATGTAAATCTGGGAAAAAAAAGCTTTCAAAATGTATTTTAATTTTAATCAAATTTAGATTACTTTTAAAATCTGTTAGGAAAAAAATATATATAAATAAAATATTAAAAGCAGAAAAAAAATCTTTGAAGAACAAAATCTGAAAAAAGTTACACTCAAAACCTTTTTTTTTTTATTAACGTTGAAGTGTCATTTATTGATTTTAAATTTCCATTTACAAAACTTGTTCTTTGCCTGTAAAATACTTACTCTACAGTTCCCTTAGCGTTTCCATGGTGGTGTGAAGTGGCCTTAGCTCTTGGTTCTGATCCAACATTGTGGCTCCTTTCAGCTATGCTGAAATTAAATGATGCCAGGACCGGCCTGGAACTCAACAACTCCGGCCTGATGCTGGAGAGCTATAGAGCAGCATCTCTGGGAGGCAGAAAATAAGATCATAGCAGCATCACGATGGCATCCGCCCGGATAGAGTCTGCTCCGATCCAGCAGAACTCTAGCAGACAGAACGGGTCACCCACAGTGGAGATTCTTCAAAATGAAAAGCCCTGGGCAAGACCCTCTTCTTGCATCTTCACACACATGCTTTCATTCCTAATTTTTTTCATCCCCCTGATAAATAAAAACGACTTTTTAGGATGCAAACATTTATAAACACGAGGAACTTGATCCTCCTTCTCACATACAAAGCCTTAAATAACCATAAGCCCTGAACTAGATCAGAGAACTGATGGGTCCTTATATTCCTAACAGAGCACTTCATTATCAATCTGCAGGATTACTGGTGGTTCCTAGAATGTTGAAAAATAGAATGGGAGGCAGATCTTTTAGTTATCCGGGTCCTCTCTTGTGGAACCTACTAGTCTGAAGGATTTCTTCCTATTAGTAGAAGAAGATGCTGAAAATCTTATCAAACAGATCAGAAGTGTGTATTTGGCATTAAAAATACACACATTCTATTATACAGTAGTGACAGTAACTGCTTTTTTATGTCTTATACAGGATTCCTGGATGTTATATGATTCCAGAAAAAAACTAAATATTATATCTGTCATGTTGGTACCAAGGTTTCTAACCCACATGCAGAACACACGGACTCAGAGGGAAAAGTTTCAACAGTTTATTTAGATACACAATGTTAATAAAGAACTGATTCGGGGGGAAACAGGTCCAAGACTGGTCACGACTGGTTTCTCTGCAGAGAGGGACAGAATGGTTAGCTGATGTCCAAGTATGCTCGCTGGTTGAATGAGTACAGGTCTGTACCTGTTCAGTGGTTTGAGCTGAGCGGCAGAGGAGGGGAACCAGGAGGGTCCAGAGGCAGCAGGCAGGCAGAGGGCTTGGTAGCGGGAGAGGCTTGATTTCTGATATTGCAGTTTCTGATCTGAGTTTCTCTTCCAGTTTCTTCTGAGAACGGGCAGGCAGGTTACTGACAGATTGTCTTTCCAGAGTTCTTCTGCGATCAGACAGGCTGGTTTCAGACTGAGAAACTCTTCCTGAGTTTCTGGATTCAGACAGGTTCTTCCAAGGAAGCAGAGAGTACAAAAACAGGTTAGGTTCTGGTTCAGGTTTCAGGGGAGTCAGAGAATCAGACAGGCAGGTCGGCTCAGGTTTGCTAACCATAACTGGCATAACACTCTGGCACCGGAGTGTTGCTCTGCCTCTCTTTAAATGCTGGTCTCCTGATGAGCAAACGAGCCGCAGGTGTGGTAGTCAGCTCCAGGAGACCTAGGGCGCCCTCTGCTGGAGAAAGGTGGACAGACCTCCAGATCCCAACAATATCAAAAATGTCACATGTGCTGCTTGACAGAGTTTACTTTCATGAAATACTTAGGATTCAAACTCAAGTGAATTTTATGCTGTTAAACCAAAATAATAATTAAAAAACATCATATCTTGAATACTTTCTCAGTTTCCCAACAGCAAAACTTTGAGAATGTATTTTCCTCAAAAGTGCTCAGTAGTGACCAGGTATCACACATGATTCTATCTTTTGTAGTTTTTATATGTGTAACATCACTTACATGCTTAATGTTTGCTTTAAATTGATTGGCAGACGCTGTCATCATGGTCACAATCTCTTAACTAGGCTGTTATTAACTTGCAAGCAATGCACCCCTTTGCTATTCATTTCATCCATCCTTATTGCTCTTCCTTTTTGTCATCCATTATTAAAAATGACCAACAGAGTCCCATTCATCAACGAGACAGACAGTGGGAAGATTCAAAGCATTTTTTTTCTTTAAAACAGAAATACGGAGCTGTGGATTACTCATCACTGGCAACTGGTAATGATGCTTATCAATGAGAGTCACTTACCTGCTTTAACAGTTCAGTCAACTCTTAAGAGCGAGGCAGGACTCCAGCCGATGGACTGCCAAACAAGATGTGGCGGGAGCCCCCCAGAGGGAACCAGATGCTGCAGCCCCAGTGAACAAGCATTAATGAGAGCCAGGTCAAGTAAACAGTTCAGAACAGATTGGCTCAGAGATCCAGGAGTCCGTAACCCGGTGAGGGGTTCCGATTAGAACAAGAACAGGCAGCTCCAGGGTTCCAGGAATCCACAGAGAGTTCAGGCAGGTTCAGGGTTTTATGAGTCCAGAGAGTTCAGGCAGAAACGTTCAGATGGGAATAGCTCAGTAGTTGAGAGGCAGAACAAGGCATGACAACAAAAAAACTACGGTACGCTAAAACTTGACATGATTAGAATTGTACGAAATACAGTACGCTAAAACTTGACATGAAACACTATGACAAGATTAAAACCCTCCCTCACGACTAGCCTCTGAGAATGGGAACATAAACAAAAAACATGAGCTATAAATTCAACATCAAACTCAAAATGATGTCAAGTAGCTGGGCTGAGCTGCATTTAAAGCTGCAGGAGCAGGTGCATGAGATGAATGATAATGGGTAACCGGGCAGAGTTAGGCAGGTGAGTGAAATGAGTAATTATATCAGCTATCAGGGTAGTGATGACACTAGTTACTTGTTCTTATTTAGAGCCACCAAAGGTTTACCTTAAGTCAACAATTACTTTATTTTCATCCATAAGACTAAGACTTAAATGTTCTTTGGCACTGTTTCAATCTTATGATTTTGACTTTTCTTTCACTTCTTTTTCTGGTCAGTATGCTATTCTTTAAATCTCCCACCTTCTTCCATACCGCCTATTTTGCTTCCTGCTCATCATTTCTTTCTGCCGTCTCTGATCCACCTACCCACTCTTTGCTTGAGTTTCTGCTTCAATTTCTCCAACACAAATGTTCCTTCTCCGTGTTTCCCTTCACCGCAATTTTTTTTTTCTGTGTGTTCAACCTCGAAATCTGCGTGTCGCCTTACTATTTGCTAACGTTAGAGAGTTAACATTAAGTTAATATACCCTCGGACTTAGTAAAAGTCTGCTCTCAGAACACAGAAAGAGAAAAACAAGGATGAATATATTGGGAAATGTTCTTTAAATCCATTTAATTAAAGGAATCAGATTATCTTTCCATCCCAGCTTAAAAGCTATGAGAACTTTCACAAGAATCTGTGTTTTAAAGTGGGTTCTCCAAAGTCTTTGCCTTCTGCTTGCATGTCTGAGATCTCCCCATGCTGCACCACGCTATGCAGTCATGCATTATGTATTTCTGAATCTAAGCGGGCAGATTGGCCTGTGTTCGAGGTAACAGCAAAAGGCCCTGAGGCGAATGACCTCATATTCTGGAGCAGCAGAGCAGAGCTTGGAGATCGTGGTTGTGCCAATAAGCCAGCTGATGACTGCTTCCCTCTCTGAGCACAGGAGCTAAAACGATGAGCCACTGGCGTCATGCTATAATTAACATATGCTTTGTTGAAGCAGGAGACAGACGCGCATCCATATTTAAAGTTAAACTAGAGGGCGAGGCCGCGCTTTGTTTCTTCTCCTTGATCCGAGATTAAAAATGGAAAGAAATCCTCCGAGCAGAACAGATGTTGTTCTGTCTTTTCAGGAGTACAGAGGAACACTTTCACATCAGGAAGGAACTAAATTGCTTTTTAGTGTTAGGGAGAGCTGCTGTGACACTGACAGCGGCTGAGGACCGGCTGAATAATTTGTAAATGTGCAGTCGTGTCGACTACGATTACGCTAAGAATGACACTAAGGGCCTGGAGCACGAAGTTGTTACTCACTACTGCTTATGCTAAACGTTATTAATGTATGCTGTACAGATTTATCACTTAGGAGGAGTTTTTCGTAGAAACTTACGTTTCAATTTTACTTTAGTTAAACCGTTCTAAGGCACTGCAGCCTCATTAAATCAGGAACCACCTTTCTTTAAACAAAACTACACCAGACACAGTCAGTCAGTTGCAGTAGCTTAAGTTGAGTACTTTTGTTTTTACACACCCTCTGATATTTTATGTTTCTGTCTAATACCCATGGCAGCTGGGGGATATCTGAACATAAAGTGTACATACCGCTAATAAACTTTGTTTTAAAATGATATATTTATATTAATTTCTTTTCATTTTTTTGTATCTGACTTTATTGTCTGATGGCAAATTCTTTGAATACAAAAGCAAAGTTTATCAATTAGTGCTTGAGCAGTTTTATTGCAAAATATGGTTTCACCCTTGAGATCATTTGAACACTCACTTTTTACTTTGACTTATTTAAGTTCCATTTAGTTTTATTTCTATAGCCCCAATTCATAAAACATGTTCATCTCAAGGCTCTTTACCAGAGGTGGGAAATGTGGGGGAATCAAATCCTCTCTATGTCATGTAATTATTCTGCCCGGCCACTCAACCAGGTGAGTCCAATCTGCACAATTTAATTCACTGTGCAGATTGGGCTCACCTGGTTCATTGGCTGGGCAGAACAATTACATGACATAGAGAGGACTTGATTGCTCCACATCTCCCACTTTTGCTCTTTACAGAGACAGTTTAATCAGATCAAACCGTCAGATTGGTGATGGTAGACATTTGTCTGGATTGTGTGCGTTGACTCTACAGCAATCTGAACCGAGCATGCATAAAGTGACATTGGAGAGGAAAAACTACCTTTTAACTGAAAGAAATCTCCAGTAGAACTAGGCTCTGTGTGAGCAGACTTCTGCTGAGGCTGAATAGGGTTAGAGGACACAGAATATACACACAAAAGGAACATAGAAACACCATCCATCCCTTTTTCCGTCAATCTTATCCCTGCTGTGATCAGGAGGGGTTCTGGTGCTCCAGCTCTCAATTGGCAAGAGGCAGGGTAAAACTTGGACATGTTGCCAGTGTATAACAGGGAAACACAGAGACAAACAACCATTCATACGGACACTCACACCTAAGGAGAATTTAGAGAAGGCGATCAACCTAACAGTCATATTTTTGGACATTTGGAGGATGCTGGAGTACCCGGAGAAAACCAACACATGCACAGGGAGAACATACAAGACTCCACTGTTCTAAAAAAAAAAAAAAAATACTTTGTATGTTAAACATTGGTATTGGCAAAGAAACTCCACAGGTGACTCTTTTTAGGAAAGAAACAGTGAAGCAGATGAGCCCTGAGTCAGCTTTCATGTCAAAAGGGAAGGAAAAGAGCACATAGAGTTAGCCATATAAAGCTGAGCCTATGTTTATCTCTAGAAAAGAGACAGAGTTAAATAAAGAAAATCCGGCACAAATAAATTTCAAATTTGTTAAACATGCGTGGTTGGGCTATCAAATAGTGCAGAATTAGACAAAAAAAAAGAACAAAGCAGAGTAAGGAAAAAAAGGTCCCTATGTCCTCCAGCAGCCCAAGTCTATAACAAAATAACTTTTGAGATAGAAAAAATGGCAGTTGTTTTTCGTATTTTCATTGTTTCTTTCAAATTAAAACCAATAATACACTGCTTTTTTACCATCAGAAACACCAACTGATACTTCTGATTTTGTGAGCCCAATGTCTTTGTTGCCTCTGTACACTCACCAGCCACTTTATTAGGTACCCATGCTAGTAACGGGTTGGACCCCCTTTTGCCTTCAGAACTGCCTCAATTCTTGGTGGCATAGATTCAACAAGGTGCTGGAAGCATTCCTCAGGGAGTTTGGTCCATGTTGACATGATGGCATCACACAGTTGCCGCAGATTTGTCGGCTGCGCATCCATAATGCGAATCTCCCGTTCCACCACATCCCAAAGATGCTCTATTGGATTGAGATCTGGTGACTGTGGAGGCCATTTGAGTACAGTGAACTCATTGTCATGTTCAAGAAACCAGTCTGAGATGATTCCAGCTTTATGACATGGCGCATTATCCTGCTGAAAGTAGCCATTAGAAGTTGGGTACATTGTGGTCATAAAGGGATGGACATGGTCAGCAACAATACTCAGGTAGGCTGTG